TGCTTGTGCTCTTCTATCTCTCTGCTCAATAAATAAATAAAATCTTTAAAAAATAAAAATAAAAAATAAATAATGTACCCTTTCCTTTCAGACCTAAGCACAAGAAACTGTTACCTTTGAGAATTGCTATTTCTTCTTCCTGCTATATTGAGAGTTGATATTTCCTCTCCCTGTTATCATATTGAGAGTTGATATTTCCTCTCCCTGTTATCAGTCATATTTCTGTGTTTTTCGTGTAGGAATTCATGGGGAAAAATATATTTGAAACATTTAGATGACTACAGATGGAATTGGTTTCTGTTTAGCAATCTTTTCAACAAATAGTATTTTTCTTTGAGTGGCCGATGGTAATAGAGAGTTCTGTTGGGAAAAAGACTCCAAAGGATCCATCCCCTAGATTTAGATCTAGGTCACAGCTCAAGGAGCTTCACTGATATAATGAGGGCCGGAGTTGGAGTTTAGAAAATTGGCAGATGAATGGCAATCTGGAAGTAGGCTGCTTTTTCCAGTAGCAGTTAGGAAGAAGGAGTAACAGCTAGACAGCCAGTCAGTCACACTCCAGGCAGAGATCTGAGTGGTTTTATAGGCTGAGGGAAAAAGCAAAAAGAGCGAGTGAAGATATCATTCCCTCCGTTTGTGTTACTGCTACACTTCACAGGCATTCTGCTTTTCACACTGTGTAGCAAGTGCTTACTTGAATGTTCATTTACCTAGATCATTTCCTTGTTTAGAATCTTTCCCAGGATATTCTCAGGATAAAATCCAAGCCTCCTTAATTGGCATCCAGGGTCAGCCTCAGGCGGCTGGTGCCTGCACACCCCCACACTACCCCCGTGTTGCTCCTCTCCCCCGTCCTAGACTGTAGTCCTTCTGAATCTCGCTTGGTCCTTACATGCGCCGTACTTTTCTCTTATCACGGGGTCTTCCCACATCCTGGTGCCTGTGTCCGAACCACTCTTCCCTCCTTCCCAAACCTGCCTCTCCGTTTGGCTAACTCCTGTGCATCCTTCAGTGTCACTGTTCCAGGAGGCCCTCCCAACTCCTTGGGCCAGGTCAAGTTCCTCTCCAGCAGAGCATGCTCTGTTCTCTTGACATATCACTTTATTGCACTTATTTGCCTAATTTCTCTCTTTTCCTATGGACCTTAAGTTCAGTGAGCCCAGAAACCATGTTTCCTGTGTTTAACCACAGTATCTAGAGCCTGTAAATAGGAGTATTCTACAAATATGTATTCCATTTAATTAATTTACTATATTCTTAGAATAATACCTATAAATAGTGAAGTTCTTGCTTAATAAACCAAATGAATTTAACTATTTCTTGATGAAAATGTTTCCACAGAAAACACACACCTGCATACCAATTTTCTTTAGAGAATTAAGCATATTCTTTTTTAAAAAAGATTTTATTTATTTATTTGAGAGAGAGCACAAGCAGTGGGGAGGGGCAGAGGGAGAGGGAGAAGCAGACTCCCCACTGAGCAGGGAGCCCGATATGGGGCTCGATCCCAGGACCCTGGGATCACAACCTGAGCCGAAGGCAGATGCTTAACAACTGAGCCATCCAGGCGCCCTACTTAGCTTCTTTTGAGTTGCAAGTTTACTAGTATTACATGTTTGGAAGGAAATATACCTAATTAGAATTTGATTTTTAAAATTTTTATATAAGAAGTTATTTTTATATAGTATATGCTAGACATGATTTTTCATTGTAATAAAAATGCTTAACAATGGAAAGATTTAATCAGTGGACTGAATTTTTATGGAAGTTATTTTAATTCAGAAAACTCTTATAAATGGGTATGTATGTTTTAAGATAAGCATTTTTCTTTGGTTTCTCTTTCAGACATGACGTATCAGATAAAGGAAGTAGTTCTGACACTTCTGTTCGTGTTCGTAACCTACAACTAGGGATCTCAACTTTCTGGAGTCTGGAAAAGTTTGAATCTAAGCTTGCAGCAATGAAAGAACTTTATGAGGTTTGGAATATTATTAAAATCTCTGTAAATTTTTGAAATAAAAAATATAAAAGTGACGTGTTCTCAGTAAAGAAAATTTGGCAAATAAAGGAAAAGGCAATTTATATTACCCAAACCAACCAATATTAACAATTATGTATGTTTACTTTACTTTTGCCTGTAGATGGGGTTTTATTGATTAATATAGTTATACCTGTAATAGAGAAATTTAGTGCTGAATCTGTTCACAGTTATAATTGTGTGTTTTCAAGATTTTAGATTTAAGCTTAAGAGAAGAAGAAATTTGATAGATATAAAGCACTTTGCATCATTTGTAATTATCTTCAGTGCCTATAATGTGCATTTTTACATAATTACTTTACATTTCCCCATTGCTGTGCTTTTCGGTGTTACCAGTTGTTTGCTATTTTAATAGAACTAAAAATATCCTTACACATATTAGTTTTTAGTATCTTCTTCCTTATTTTCTCTTTTCTAAAATGGTACCCCAAAATATGATTTTTTATTACATTTTGATGCTCAATAACAATTACTTGTCAGAAATATTGCCATTTACCAATGTTACCAGTTTGTTTTAATTTATGTATTAATAATTAGTGAATCTGAGGATTTGACTCTTTGTTTCTTTATAGGTAAAGTATGTGTTCATGTCCTTTGAATTTTACTCACACTTTTGAAATATGGGTAATGAACTAATATGTCTACAAAAGTTCTAACATATTTTGATAGTAAACCTTTATTTTATATTTATAATAATTTTTTTCCTGATTACACTTTTTTCTTGGTTTTATTTTGTTATACAGGCATTTTAAATCTGGTATATTTGAATCTTTCTATTAATCTGGAGATCTTCTTACTGAAATATAGTCCATTTCTCTGTTTACTTTTAATTTTTTGTAAACATTTACCTCTGTGAGTCACATAAAATTTGTTATAGTATATTGTGAGAGGTATGGATGTAAAAGTAATTTTTCTCCATATGATTATTTTAGTATCCCTAAAGCATTTAATAAATAGTTGTAATATGTATTAAATTGTTGCTACTATTTGTTAAATATCTCACCTTTATATAATGTGACTCTATATAGAATTATATTCTATACTACTTAGATATAACAATAATGGAGATATATGTAAAAGCTTACACAGGATGCTGTCAAATTATATCCTTAATGTTTGATTCGTGTAATGGAAAAATGAAAAAAAACTAGTTAACTCAATCTAGAAAATAACAAAATAAAACAAAGGAAAGCAAATGAAGGAATGATTAAAAATAAAAGCAATAATTGATAAATTAGAAATTAAACTCAAGCTCTGGTTCTTTAAAAAGATGAACATGTGATTTTAGGAATGGGCAATGGCATTTATACAAAGATAACAAAAGCATTTAAAAATTATTTTACATGTAAAACTTTACGCTAATAAATTTTATAATTTTCTAGAAAGAAAAGACTTTCTAGAAAAAGATCAGTTATGAAATTTAGCTTAATGGATGAATAACCATGCAATAAATTGAAAAGTTTGTCAACAAATTAGTCTCAAAAAGAAAAACAAAAACTGTAAAGAAAAGGTGTGGCTCCCAATCAGTTTTATGGGGAAGGTTTTATTTTTTTTTTAAGATTGTATTTATTTATTTGACAGAAAGTTACCCAGCGAGAGAGGGAACACAAGCAGGGGGAGTTGGAGAGGGAGAAGCAGGCTTCCCGCCGAGCAGGGAGCCCGATGTGAGACTCGATCCCAGGACCCCGGGATCATGACCCGAGCCGAAGGCAGATGCTTAATGACTGAGCCACCCAGGTGCCCCATGGGGAAGCTTTTTTAAACCACTGAAGAACAGGGGTGCCTGGCTGGCTCAGTTGGTAGAGGATGTGACTATTGATCTCAGGGTCATGAGTTCAAGCCCCATTTGGGTGTAGAGCGTACTTAAAAAAATAAATAAGTAAATAAGAGAACAGATAAATATGATTGTGTTTCAACTATTCTGGAACATAGCAAAGGGTATAAAGTGTCACAGTTATGATGCTAACCTAACCGATTAAAATCAAACCAAACAAAAACCACAAAAACTGAAAAGATGATTCATAAGAGAATTACAAACCAATCTTCATATGAACATAGCTATAAAAATCCTGAATAAAATGTCAGTAAATCAGGGGTGCCTGGGTGGTGCAATTGGTTAAGTGTCTGACTCTTGGTTTTGGCTCAGGTCCTGATCTCAGGGTTGTGAGATCAAGCCCTGTGTCGGGCTCCGTGCTCAGCTCAGAGTCTGCTTGGGATTCTCTTTCTCCCTCTCTCTCTGTCCCTCCCCCCTGCATGAACTCTCTCTCTCACCAATAAATACATAAATCTTAAAAAAAGAAAGGAAGGAAGAAAGAAAGATCAGTAAATCAAACCCAAAGATATACTCAAAGAATACTTATACCATGATCAAGTAAGGTTAATTCCAGGAATGCAAGGTATATTATTCATAACAGGAAATCCAAAAAGACTGAAAGGAACTGAGTGTTTATCTCTAAATGATGGGTTTGTGAGTGGTTACACTTTTGTGTGTTTATACGTGTTAATAATTTCCAAATTTCCTACAATGAATGTGGATTGCTTGTGTAATTAGAGCAACAAAAAAACTGTATTGAAGTCATTTGATCATTCTTGCCTTATCATATACATTAAAATGTGGTAGGTGACTTAACCATTATTATCTTACTTCCTACTTTCAACTGTTGCAATATTCTTTGATTATTTTTCTATATAATTATACTATTTCAAATCAAGCTCTGTATGTATAGTATTTTGCTAGAACTATAATTAATATTACTTTAAATACTTAAAATTCAGATTATTATCATGATTAATATATTCGACCAGGGAGTGATTGAATCTTAATGTTGTCAGATTATTCTTTTCTTTTTCTTTTTTTTAATTTAATTTTATTATGTTATGTTTGTCACCATACATTGCATCATTAGTTTTTGATGTAGTATTCAATGATTCATTGTTTGCGTATAACACCCAGTGCTCCATTCAGTACATGCCCTCCTTAATACCCATCACCAGGCTAACACATTGCCCAACCCCCCTTCTTTTATTTTTCTACTGAGGATTTATCTTTTCTGTTTTTACTGTCTTCTATATCCCAAGTTTATGTTTTTTAATCATTTAATGATTTCTGTGCTTTTATTAGTAGAGCTCTTTCAATACAATTTCTAGCATCATGTGCTTGATTTTTTTGTTTTGTCAGGAATGTGATATTTTTAAGATTTATTTATTAGAGAGTGCGAGTGGGGGGAGGGGCAGAGGGAGAGGAAGAGAGAGAATCTCAAACAGACTCCCTGCTGAGTGCAGAGCCCAATGCGGGGCTCAATCTCAGGTCTCTGAGATCATGACCTGAGCTGAAATGAAGAGTCGGATGCTTAACTGACTGAGCCACCCAGGCACCCCAAAATGTGATATTTTTAGACTTCTGCCAGACAACCTGTAATTTTGCTAATTTTTTAATTTTAAATGTAACAAATTTAAACTTTTGTTTTCTCTTAATTGCTAAACATGTTTTAAAAGATTTTATTTATTTGAGAGAGAGAGAGAACATGAGCTGGTGGAGGGACAGAGGGAGAGGGAGAAGCAGACTCTCCGCTGAGCGGGGAGTCCAGTGCAGGGCTCAATCCCAGGACCCCAGGATCATGACCTGAGCTGGAGGCAGACGCTTAACCAACTGCGCCACCCAGGTGCCCCAGTTGCTAAACATTTTTTAACCCAAATTAATAGAAACCATATATTTTATTTTTCTTAGAGTAATAATAGTAACAAGAGTGAAGATGTCTTTTGTGATCCTGAAGATGAATGGGAACCTGACATTACAAATGCACCAGTTTCTTCTTTTTCTAGAAGGAGGTAAAGACATTTTGTTATTGTTGTTTTTGTTCTGGGTATACATATATATATCATTTCCTTATTTTAAAAGAACTATCTATTGTCATAATGGGTATGTCTGTGCAGGGAACCCAGTAATATAAGAGAAATAGTATGTTACTGATCAAATTACAGCACTTGGGGCATTAAATTGTTTATATCAGTCAGTTAGAATAGGAACAAAAATGGTCAGCATCTCACCATATAAGTCTTAAGAGCGACTTAGAATAGCATAAATCTAATTTCCTATAAAAATGAATAGTTTTTATTACTTTTAAATTACCCTTTTTCAAGAACTTGGCATATTCTATGATATTTTATTGTAAGTTATAGAACTTCAAATGCTGTCAAGTTAGCACCACAGAAGAATAAATCATGATGATAGAGAACTTCTGTATATGACAAATGCTGCTTATTAACTAAAAGCATAAAAGACTTCCACAGTGAATAGATGCTTTTCAAGGAAAAACTAGTTCCGTTTAGACCTCAGATGCTTAGATTACAGAGGGGCAAAATGGTATAATAGAAAGGCCTTGGTCTTGGAACCAATTTAGCTGCTTAGTTTGGTTTTTAAACAAAGACTTCTTTTTAAATAAATACTTCTTCATTTGGTTTTGAAACAAGACTACTGTCTGCTATTTCTTGAGGATACAAAGATGAATAAAAAATACTCTCTGTCCTGAAGACCAGGAATTGAAGAAACTAGAAGAACAGTTGATAAAGACCCAAAATCAGGTCAGGCAGAAGGACTGGAGAGGAAAGTCCGGTTTTATACATATTCAAGAGGAAGAATCAATAAGGACTTGGCTAGCTGTGGAGTTGAGGGTGATAAAGGGCTCAAGGGTGAATCCCTGTCTAACAAGGGTGACTGGCTAAGGGAAGGTGGTGTTCCCTGATGTGAAGGGTCAGATGAGTTTATTTTTGAACACGATGAGCTTGAGATTCCCAGGGAACATCCAAGTGCATATATTCAGGTCTAGAACTTGAAAGGAGGGATTTGGGATATTTCAGGATGTAAGAGTCAGTGGCATTCATCCATCCAACAGAAGCATCATCATTATCAAGAACATTGACTGGGTGCTTGCTAAGTATTATCTCATGCAATTCTTACACAAAACTATGAGGTTAGTGCTGTCATTACCCACCTTTTACAGATGAAGGGGCTGAAGATTTAAAGAGGTTATAAGTTGTCCAAACTCACAGAGCTGATAAAGGAAGAGCTGGTACTCAAATCCGGGATTGAGTGACTCCAAAGGGCCTGATTTTCTTGACTGCTACGCCATATTGCGTCTCTGTTGCATCAAAACAGAATCTTTCTGGTTAAATCTCTCTCTCTCTCTCTCTCTTTTTTTTAACTTCATCACCTTAAGCTGCAGCTCAGAATTCATTGGGTTTCCAGACCTTTTCGGGCCTTTCTTGTTTTTGACTATGCTTATTTTAAACCCATTTATAAAATTTCAAAGAGATGGAACTACTTTAGAGCAACTCTTCCTCCTGTTACCTTTGTTCTATTTGCTTCGTGGTAACTGCTAAGGTACAGTAAGAAATAGCCAAGAAATAATAATCGATACATGTTATCTTATATGTTATGTACATAACAGCTGTGTATTTCAAGCTAAGAGAAATACAAAGCATGTCCTTTAAACAGATTCTGAGTTCCTTGAGCATAAGATACACATCTGTATCCCCTACAATGTACTATAATAAAAAAGTCACAGGCTCATGTCAGAGTCCTAGGTTCTAACTTTTTTTCATTAAGTTTTTAATTTTAATTCCAGTATAATTAGCATACAGTATTATATTAGTTTCAGGTGTATAATAGAGTGATTTATGCCGAGTGCAGCCATGGGCAAGTGACATTACATCTTTAGGCTTCAGTTTTCTCATCTATAAGATGGAGACAATAATACATATCTTTTCTACAGAGCCTATTGCTAAGTTTAAGTGAGGTCATATATAAAAACAATTGCTTCTCCTGCTACTTCTACTATGACCACCATGGGACTGATGATGATGTCGTGAAGTAGTTCTAAGGATTAGAGATAAAGTATGTAGAACTCCCACTGCAGTGGATAGGTGTTGAATAAATGGCAGTTCTTATTATTGGGTGCTTGTATGTGCTAAGTAAGATTAAATCGTGGACTACAGAGGGGATCTTATTTCTGATTTAATACCAATAAACAGATAGTGATATCTTCAGGTGATTTATCTTGAGGACTTCAAAACAGTGTTGGGTTCTCCAAAATGAGCTAAAGATGGCCCTTGGGGGAAATTGGGCAGAAGGGCTTGGGGTACTTAAGCTAACCTGGAGTAACATAAACCTCCCAAAAATTCAGACCAGAACTACAAATTCATCAGACGGTGATTTGTAAATCCTGTTAGATTTTATAATACTGGTTTCTTATTATATTTTATTATAAACAGATACAAACTTGGTGTACTTAGAATTATGGATCACAGTATGAGCATTAATAATTAATGAACATCAGGGAGTGACGGGATGAGTGAAATAGGTGAAGGGGATGAAGAGGACACTTACTGTGATGAACACTGAGCAATATATAGAATTGCTGAATCACTATATTGTACACCTGAAACTAATATAACACACTATATGTTAATTATACTTGAATTTAAAAAACTAATTAAAAATAATGAACATAAAAATTTTAGCTTATTGGGGCGCCTGGGTGGCTCAGTCGGTTAAGCATCTGCCTTCGGCTCAGGTCATGATCCCAGGGTCCGGGGATCGAGCTCCGCATCGGGCTCCCTGCTCGGCGGGAAGCCCGCTTCTCCCTCTCCCACTCCCCCTTGCTTGTGTTCCCTCTCTCTCTGTCAAATAAATAAATAAAATCTTAAAAAAAAAAAATTTAGCTTATTGAAAGTTGGTGATTTACATCTTATTTTCTGCTAACTTCTAGGTTAGTAACTAGGGAACCAACAAAAGTTTAAATTATTACCAAAAAATTAAAACTTCTTTTGATATTTTTTTAAGATGTTGAAATTAGGTGTTTTCATTTGGTAGAGATGTTTTCTTGAGAACTTCTATAATTTAAAAGTATCATATTTAAAAAAAAATGAATTGCTCTTGGTCAGAGGCCTTGTATATGAAGTTTCAGCCTTGTAAGAATGTTTATGACAGACCTGCAAACTCTGAGAACGCCTGCAGGTAATGGAAACACTGACAGATTCTTAATTATGGAACCACTGCCAGGCAACCATATGCCATAGGCTCTCTGTGACAAAACAGACTGGTTTGGCTGCCTATAAATTTTGATACGTCCTGTGGACGGTTAAAAGTAAAATGCCCCTGAGGTTAAGTAAAAATTCTTTAAAAAGAATGACAAGCATTTTATTTGAGTTTAAACATTGTTTAACTGTGATGGTGTTGGAAGAATAAGTTTTCCTAGTTTAGACTTACTGTAATAATGTACCCTTTCCTGGGGGCACCTGGGTGGCTCAGATGGTTAAACGTCTGCCTTCGGCTCAGGTCATGATCTCAGGGTCCTGGGATCGAGTCCCGCATCGGGTTCCCTGCTCAGTGCAGAGCCTGC